CCGTGCTCTGTGTTGTAGAGCAAGAAAAACGACGGAGCAGCGGGTGCAGACGGTCAGTAAAGTATGGTAGTATCTAGTATGCGATATGGTAGTAATCGATGCTTTCGCTTTGGTGGTTGTCACTCCAATCCAAGGGAACCAGCGAGGAGGAGTAAGTTGAAGTGGGCGGGGGGAAAGACCTAGGTATAGAGACAAGAGAGAATAAAAAAAAAAAAAAGAAGGCCAAATGGGGAAAATCATGCAAGGAAATAAATTCGCGGTATACAGGACAAGAACGCCAACACCAACCAATTCCTCCCCGTGTACAGATTTCCAAGCGCCTTTCCATGCCGAAACAATTCCAAATTCTACACGCATATCTGCCATTTGCTCGAAACCAAGAAGAACTTATAGCACCGGGAAAAGGCATCCGAGAATCGAGGTCATCCCTGATCGCTTGGAAGTAGATCGCACAGTGGTCGTAATCATTATCGCGACTCTCCGAGACACCGTTGAGATATTCGGAAGATGAAATACCTCGCGTCGATATTGTTCCATCTCGCAAGGCTCTTTTTCTTAAAAGCCGTCGTCAACAGAGGGTGGGCAACGCCAGACAGAGTATACAATTGGTGCGCCGTTTCAGGACGACTGTCTAGCAGTCTCGGGTCGTATCTCCTGCCGAAAGCTGGATGCACGAGCATGCAATTGACAGAAGCTCAACGACAGAGGCGACATTTCCCCACGACCACAATGAATCTGTCATGAGGACTGTCTGGACACCGGCTGTCCTTAGCTCCGTCGACCGATGTGCGGATGAAATGTTGCGATGGTTCGCGGCAAGTGCTGTAGATATAGTAGTTCTTGAAATAGTTGCACATTATGGCCGCATGCAACAAGAAACGAATACAAGGAATTTGGAAAGGATCGAAGATAGTTGTTCAAGCTTCAGAAGGTGAAGAGTTCAATTCTGCAGCAAATATACAGCGGGATATATAGCAATGAAGAAAGACTCCAAAGTGGATTGAAGATTGTTTCGCGAATTGTGGTTGATACCTGGAGAGAAATGCGAAGAAGCAACCGGTAGCACCCAAGGACGATGCGAGGAAAAGATGAAGATATATGTCGCCTTTCGTAGTGGGCTGTTGCAAGGCGATGTTTGCCGTGTCTTGCTACAGGTGCATCTGTTGACTGGGGCCCATCACAAGCCAGATGCAGCAGGGTTAGGCAAGAAAACTCATATCGAATAATTTACTCCGTAGATGAAAGGTGATAATAATGCTCTTGCTAATGCTAGGCACTAGGACTAAGGGAATGTATTGCAAATGAAAGTTAGAAAAAAATAAAAATAAAATAAACTAATATTGGAAAATGTAAAATAATAACAGAAGCAGATATAGATGCCAAACGGTCCAGAGGAGTCAAGCTCAAAGGATACTGACAAAACAGGCAAAAGCTCCAGGAACCACTCGGGCTCCTTCTTTTTAGCTGCCGAATCTGGTTTCTCCCTGGAAAGCCTCCCAGGCTACCAAGCCTACCGTCCTCTTACCAGCCTAGCTGGATCCAACACATAAAGGCAATGCAATCTTATTGCGTAGCATCGTGGTCGGTCTGTTTGGAAAGTCCCCTCCCATGCCGCAGAATGCGGGCCCGGCCTGTTGTCGGCTTGATCGGAGCGGTACAGGGCCTCACAAGAGAGACAGACATCAGGTGGAAGCTCATGACTCTGTTCCTCGGGCATTCTTAAGTGAGTATTGGTAGAAATAGGCTTATCAAGGCACCGAGATTCATGACTGCTTCGTCGTTAACGGCTCGAATGGGAGATCGACACGGTCCCTCGCAGCCGTTGATGCTTCACCCGCACGTGGCGCTAGCTGGGATCTTCCATGCATACGCAATTACGATGTCATAGAGATCAGAATAATGCCGAGTTGGCATGAAAGATAAAGATTCAATTGGATTTGGCAGTAGGGCCGGAGTATGTTAGCGGATGAGTCGCCCATCATTGCCGACCCCGACACGGGATTTCCCAGGCATACCATTCACCAGTTCAGAGGAGGGTCGAATCTCGAACACTGACAGGCTAACAGCCTAGTAGACTGTTTCGTGTTGAAAACAACTGACGCGGAATATTACGCTTGGTTGTCACCTCGCCTCGGATCCATGAGAGAAAACTGGATCCATCCGGTCAATTAGGACGATCAAATATCGATGTGGAACTGTGGATAATGGATTCCGAAAATACCGAAATATCAGATGCTACTGTTGTTTTTGGCACAGTTTAAGCCATCGTGCATGATGGTGGGCAGATGGGTGAAAAAATCAAATGATACGGAGTCAAAGCCCCATCTGAGCTATTATCGGGGCGCAAAATCGGGTCTAAGACGCTTGAACTTACCGTGCAAGTGTGACATATGTACTCTGTATGCATGTGTCAATTAATGAGTATCAATTCTGAGTGTTGAAAGGTTTCTCCTCTTCGAAGTCCGAAGGACGAGCATTTTAGCGCACGCCATTTCCACCTTTCTAGGATATATGTCTAGATCGCGTATCACTATTGAGTGATTGGCTCTTGGAACCATGCATTCGAGAAAGTAACGACTGGGTTGAGTCATGATCTCATTAGGAAGAAATGAGCATATGAAGGACCCTTGGAGCTCGTTCTGAAACCTGAGCACTAAACAGCAACCTAATAGTAGAAATAAAAGCGCAAGTTTGGCGGTACGCACCGTCCCAAAGAAGAGACAATCGTAGCAAATCCATGGTACTTCGATTTGTCATTTCTCTTTCTTGGACCCGAGTCTTGAACTCGTGTGCATAACGAAGGTTCGAAGCGGCAATAATAATAATAATAATGAGGCCTAGGTCCTATCCCCCTTTCCGCTCTATCATATCCAAGAAAGGTGTCCCATATTTCCACAGCCACAACAAAAACTTGAAGATTACGTGCTTCTCCCAGTTAAGAGAATGTGATTGACGCAAGCCACCAAGGCTTGCTAGAATGCCGTTGGCCCTCAATCTTGCCAAGGTTTGAGCTGCTGGCAGCCTGCCTGAGAGAGCAGGGGGATATCATACGGCCAAGAAAACTTGGATGCTAGAAAATAATCATGTTATTTTCATCAGAAATAATGATGGTAATAGTGATAATAAGATGAAGGACTCAGTTGTCAAGAAACTTCTCAGAAGCCGTACCTAATCATTGCGTTGTGCAGGACGCACACAACGAACCCAGACGACAGTGAGACATGGTACATTGGTGCTATTGAACTTATCTACAACTCCGTACGGAGTCCACTCTCCATGCCTTAGGCAGGGTTCGGCCGTGTGCCGTCAGAACTTCCGGCCCAGAATTGCCTGACAGTCAATCTGGAGCTCATCGGACTCTCCTGCGGGCCTGCATTGCTTGGGTTTGGGACATCGGATGATTGAAGGGCCAGATAATTCATCCCGTCATTCACATGCAAGGATGAAACCGAAAGCTTGTCAATATCACGGATGGATCATCTTTCTCTTAACGATGCAAAACTAGTCGACAGGTTTCAGAGTGTATGGTGCCATGCCCTTTTTACCTAACAAAATAAGGATCTGATTTGAAGCCTTCTGCCTAGCAGGGATGACTATGAACAAGGGTTCGAGATAGCCCGTGGTATTATGGACAGCGGTTAGTCCAGACTGGGGGGAAGAGGGAAGGAGTAATAACAAGGATCGTAATAAGTCTCCCACGGGGATCGGAAGTACCTCTTCATACTCGGGTTTGATTGAGCTGCCGTCTTAAGGCAAATGGGACAAGTCGATGTACTTTGTACTAATCATTCATGAGTCCAGAATTCCCGATGGCTTGCTCACAGCCTCACATTGGGATGTGGGGATCCGGTTTTCGGGCATCTTCAAACTTTGCAGTTCAAGCGTTCCTGAACTTCTTCTTCGTCCTTAGAGGTGGAGTTCGAGGGGAGATTCTTCTTAGTGGAATCGCTGAGACTCTAGCCGTTTGACCACGGCGGACTCATGATTTGGAGGAACTGGTTCATCCCGCTGTGGGACTCGATAATAGTACGATCAAATACTTCCAGGATTCAACTTTTCCAAATAATAATAATGGAAAAGAGGGTATTTGGTAAAAGCACCCACACGAGTGAGATGACCATATGAAGCCTGGTTCCTGGGCTAGTCAAACTCTAACTCCTGTGACTCAATGAGGCGGCCATCAATTAGTTTGGACGTTTCAGTCTACCATTCCAGAAGGTGCTGAACTGGTGATACGCGACAAGATCGATCAGATGTCTCAAAACTCAAATTTCCACTCTGGAGTCTGTACAGCCTCAATCATTGAAGCGTCCACCTACCGTTCGGAGTTTAGAGGGGTGAGGCTTACCATGGCAACATATGACGGTTATGTGGCTTCCTCTGGTAGCGGATAAGCCACTATCCTACCATCGAAAGTTGACAGGGCAGTGATGGGAATCTGGATGGGATGGGTCTTGAGTCTTGACTGGACCGTTGGAGTCGGACTGTCGGAGTCTCGGGGGCACTAGCTATAAAAAGCTAGCTTTCCTTAAGCTCATTTTAGAAATATAGCTAACCACTTTTGGCATAACGGGAGCGACCTGGAGATGCGCTACTCCCGAAATAGAAAACATAACAGCCCATTCCCGATCTGGCCTTAGCGTACCCCGTGATAATTGCAGCTCTGGACACAGAAAGTCAGAAACAGGAAGAAATCCCCTCTTCCCACTGTCGAGGGTCTGGTTGTCGCCCAACTACGACTCGAGCAAGAGTCATCATAGTGTTCTGACTTTCGCTAACTCCTGATGATCCCGACTGGGGTTCACGGTCGCTCGTTGGACGCTTGAAATCGCCTTGAGGCTGTAAACAGAAGGGGGTCTGAACGTCAGCATTTCCCAAGTCCCAGCCATCGCTGTGGAGACAATCATTGAACTCCGCTCTTTTCCATATCAACACACTGTCGAAAGAGTCGCCAAACCTTCGTCTTTTTTTCATTTCTAGACTCTAACCGTTCTATCAAAATGGGATTCGGTGATTTCGACTCGATCTGCCAAAAGGCAGCGCTCCCCCTTTGCTCGTTGGTGGGCCCTGCGTCCTCGATATCAGGATCCACTGGTATCATTCCCAATTGCTACGCGCGGAATATCGAATTGGCAAACACCATCATCTTTGAAGGCGCTGCGTCCTTCGTTCATATCATCGCTCTAGCAATGACAGTAATCATGATTCTGCACGTCAGATCCAAATTCACCGCAGTTGGTGAGTCGCCAATCTGGACCCCTTTCTCTGGGCGCAATATTTAAACTCCTGCTTGAAACCGCATGCTTTATCGAGGTCTTCAATGTCACGCTAACTCTGGGAACTGACAGGCCGCAAAGAGATCATTACATTCTTCTACATCTACATGGCTTTGACTATCTGCTCATTAGTCATCGATGCCGGTGTGGTTCCCCCTCGAAGTGGTCCTTTCCCCTACTTTGTGGCTGTGCAGAATGGCTTGTCCTCCGCATTGTGCACCTGTCTGCTCATCAATGGATTCGTCGGTTTTCAACTCTACGAAGATGGCACTTTTCTGTCAGTCTGGCTCATACGAGTGACATCCGCGGTCATGTTTGTCGTCTCATTTGTGATCTCGCTGTTGACTTTTAAGTCCTGGGGCGGCATGAGCCCTACGAACACCATCGGTTTGTTCGTGGTGCTATACATTCTCAATGCGATCAGCATCGCGATCTATCTCGTCATGCAACTCCTTTTGGTAATGAATACCCTTGAAGACCGCTGGCCGCTGGGGCACATCGCTTTTGGAGTTATAGTCTTCATCTGTGGACAGGTGCTTTTGTACGGATTCAGCGATACAATCTGTGACAACGTACAGCACTACCTGGATGGTCTCTTCTTCGCCACGTTCTGTAACCTGCTCGCCGTCATGATGGTCTACAAGGTAAGTTCCTTTCTCCCTTTCCCACTTGGAACAATGTTGACTAATCTTGTAGTTCTGGGATTACATCACGAAAGAAGATCTCGAGTTCTCGGTGGGTATTAAGCCCAATACCTGGGAGGTCAAAGAACTTCTTCCCGAGGAGGACCGTCGAACGACCGTCTATCAAGACTCTCACTCGGAGTATGCCGGGAGCATGTATCATCACCGGGCTTCCACTTACGCCGGTCACAATTATTGACCTGGCTCTTAATTGCCCTTCTCTTTTTTTTTTTTTTTTTTTTTTTTTTTTTGGTTTTTATTATTTTTTTATTAATTTTTGGGTATTTAATTTTTTTTTTTTTTTTTTTTTTTTCGTTAGTTGGTGTTTTTCCTCGAAATTTATTTGGGGTGTTTACTTTCGTCCGCCTCCATATTAAGCATTTTTTTTTTGATATTGCTTTTTACTCTTTCATTAATCTTTCTTTTTTTCTCTTTTTTGTTCCCATATATCTT